AGATCGCAACAAAAAAAAAAAAAACTAAAATCACGATTCACGACACGTGGCTGAGAGAAAAAGAAGAACCTCGACTTGTTACCAGCCTCGATATGCCATCTCGCAGAAGAAAAATTTTGTTACCTCACAAAATAGAGATCGCAATTAGAATATCACAAATAACACATCGGCGATAGGGGAAAGGAATCACGACTAGCACGTCGCAAGTCGAGAAGAACATCAGTTGGCTCTCGAAGGAAAATCCGTGAAAATAGCGACTAACCCGTCAAGTGCAAATCGCGACTAGCGAGTCGTGACCGGCACCTCATATCGGTGAATCGCGACCAACCTCCGAAAATTGAAGCAAAAATCGCGAGACCGCGAGCAGTAAATCTCGACTTGTGGAAAATCGCGAGCAATAGCAGATCTTGACTCGCGCGACGAGGATTAGGGGAAAATTGCGATCGCGAGCTTGGAGCGAATTACGATTGAAATACATGAGAATGCGAGTTGGCAGATAGTTGCGGCTGAAAACGTGTGAAATCGCGAACTGAGTAGATTCGACGAGATGACTAGCTGTGATTAGCACATCGCAATGAAGAACCGCGACTGTGTCGATGGTGGAAATCGCGACTAAGCATGTCGCTGAGGAAAAATCGCGAGATGGGCGAGCTGGAAGGAAATCACAATTGAAAATGTGAGAATTGCGAGCTGGGAAATTCGTGATTGAAAACAAAGGAAATCGCGAGGAAGAGCGTGAATTTGAAGATGACTCTCAAAGATAACTCGACAAGGAGATTTATCGTGAAGACGAGAAGAGAAAAGAACAACCGGCATGGAGCATTAAACTGGGCCTATGACTTGGGCCAAAGGCAAACTAATTATTTGAATCAATCCTATGAGAAGAGATGACATATATGCTAAAGTTTAGCAATTTCGAGCCCTTGAATCAAACAAGTCTGCAGATAAAAATAGACACTTACGAAGCGACAAAAACGTCCGTTCAAAATACAACATTAACCTTGGTAAATACCAGAATTTCCAGATTACTTACTTTAGCGACAAAAACGTCCGTTCAAAATACAGCATTAACCTTGGTAAATACCATAATTTCCAGATTACTTACTTTACTCTATAGCTCGAGTCGTAATAGAGTAAGTTTTTAGGGGGACTAGATGATATAGCCATACTTGTGAACCGGAGTCAAGTATGAAGAGGTCCGAGCGAAACCGAGGAAGAGCAACCTGAGGAGGTCTAGACGAGACTTGAAGGTCTCGGTGATTAAGTATGAAATGCTCTCTGCGACTAAGTATGGAAAGTAGAATAGCTCTTTACGACTAAGTATGGGAAGTAGACATGCTCTCTGCGACTGAGTATGAGAAGCTCCACACGACTAAGTATGGGAAGTAGACATGCTCTCTGTGACTGAGTATGAGAAGCTCCACACGACTAAGTATGGGAAGTAGACATGCTCTCTGTGACAGAGTATGAGAAGGTCGAGTTACTCTAAAAAGATAAGTAGAGTTCATCTCGACCTACTAGACTTGCCAGAGGTCATCTCGACCTGCTAGACTTGCCAGAGGTCATCTCGACTTGCTAGACTCGTCTTGTAACACCCCGCTTATCAGAGTAAATTTTTCGCAACTTTTATTTCGAAATTACTTATAACTCTTTCGAAATCTTTTTGCGAATAACTCGGGATGCTACTTAAACTCCTCCTTCATAAAAATCTGTTTAACTTTAACTTTGTCTAATTATTTATTTTAGACATAACAAAACAGATTTATATATATACTTGCATTTAACTATATCATGTTCATATTTATGAAATGATAAAAACTTGAAATCTGAATTTATTTAAAATGCAAGTTCACATATTAATAAGCGTAGCGGAATTACTTAAAAACGTGAATAATTATACAGACTTATTTCATTTATTACAAATGTCCTTTGAAATGAGTACTCGACCATCACCACCACTTTATTTGCTCACACCTCCGGCCCGACCCTGTTACCTGAAAAACATAATGGGGGTGAGTACTGGTCCTTTTGTACCCCGTTAATACCCATACTAAAGTAAACATCAATAATAATACAATATCATGATCTTTGGTATATATATAATAACTGTAACTTAATCTGGCCGATATATTATCGGATACTTGTGCACAATCTGATGGATATTTCTAAGGCACGTATCGCCTCCATCAGAACTTAGGATATAATCTTCGAGACAAATTAATGCCTCCTCATCCCAAGCGTATAAACTTAAACTGTATACATACCTCGAACATGATAACAATATTATACTCAATGTAATACCCAGTCTGGGTCCCCACCTTTCTCCTTTGAAATCGTAAGTGTTGGTCTCGAGTAGCTAACTCTTCAAGCTACATAAAAATACGTAAACAAATATACTAAGTACTATGCTCGTATACTCGGATTTTCAACTCTTTCGGATAAATCATCCAAATCTTATAAAATCTCAATATTCTTGTTATGGTTCAAACTTTTCTTGATCTTTTACTCAATCAAATACTTACTCATATTATTTCTCCCAAATCTTATACATATGGCTTATACTCATTTTTCACTTGATTATCTCAAAAGTGAAAAATAACTCAAATCATACTAAACTTTTCATCATAATATTAATATGTGAGATTTACAACAATCTTTATAAAATTGTATACTCAACATATTAAACTAAAACTTGATCAAATTGCTCATTACTCATATAAAATTTTTTTTCTAAAAATTCCATTTTAAAACTCAACCATGTACTAAATACTCTTGCATATAAAATCATCTTGACATGTATGCCATATAAATATTTTAACTCGTTCATTTCTCAACATAAAATCATGAAATTTGGCAGTCATGTTCTTAACCCATATATAAGCATGTCGTAAAAATTTCATAATTTTATCATGCGTATATATCGAGTTATTAAAATTTTAAAGTCACAGCTGAAATAAAGAACATAAAATTCAACTTGCATGCTTAACTTCAAAAATTTATAACTCAAGCTATACTATGCCAAATGACATAATTCTTTCACCTATATACTCAGCACTTACACAAGAAATATCCATAATAAGCTTAACATATCAGGTTATGCATATCATGCTCAAATTCAAATCAAAATAGTACATATATATAACATGTGATTGTGCTGGAAACAACTTATTTTTTTTTTTTCATGCTTAAAATTTCTTTAAAAATTGAATATATATTTATGGCATGAAAATACATCAATATTCACTTACTATGACATATGATAAAAAGGTAGCATCTAACCTTCTTCAAGAAATTTGAAAATGGAACTTCGGAAGTTGATCTCAACTTATCTTCGTCAAGATTTCTCTCGATTTTTCTTCCTCACTTTATAGCTAAGACTTTGCTTATTTTTGTGTGAATTTCGAGTCTATGGTGATACCCCTTTATATAGGGTAGCAAAGGAGACAATATCACCTTCTTCACATCAATACTTCATCATAATAAACTCATTAGGGCCCTTGCCATTAATGCTTTTCTAAATCATGCACAAAGTTGAGTAAGCTTTGAAAAGTACTTGTAATGCATGATTCATCTTGTATATATCAAGACAAACTCTTCCATTTGACCAATCCTCCATTATGGGTCGAATTTTGATCCTAAATGGCTCATTTATTGCTTAAAAATATAATAAAAATGGTTATAAAAATAAATAAAGATAAAGAATAAAAATCATAACTTGTAAACTTCTCAAATCTATAGTCAATGCTTAGAAAGGCCCATCATGTGATCCTAATCTGATTTCCATGATAAAATTCGTGACTTAATGAAAAATCTCCAATTTACGGAACCGAATTCTGACTTAAAACGAACGGTTACCGAAAAATCGAAAATTCTGAAAATTTCAGATTTCCATCTTTTTCTTTTGACCTTTTTCCTTTTTATACTGAAAAAAATTTTAGCTCTTAATAATGATCTTGAAACTTGTAAAAAGATACAAGAAAATAAATTTTTCGGAAACGAAATCGGACTTAATTATCGTTTACAACCGAACATCTAAAAACTCGAAACTTGCGAATATAATTTTGAATATACTCTTAATAATATAAATAGACCTTCTTGTCTAAATAACTTCTACTTAATCCTTATAACTTATCAAATCATATAAGTCACATAAAATACTTAGGCAATTTATAACATTTACTCGACTAACTCAATTTAATGAAAAACGATTCTGGTTTACCTTTAATGTCAAGCCAACTAAAAATTAAAATTCTAAGATATTTATTAAGGCTATAAAAGATCATTATTAATAAAATTAAAATAGTTCTAACTTAGAACTGAAATAATTACTTTTACTGAATGGGATATTACACGTCTCGACCAGCTAGACTTGCGAGAGGTCATCTCGTCTCGACTGGACAAGAGGAGCTAGA